TTTTAATGTGTAAATATATTATAGCGCATTAAAAACCGTGATGTTGAATTCTTAAGCTATTAAGTTTTTTAATGATTTAATGAAGTGAAAACTCTTTGAGATAAGAAATTGGGTAGAAGGATAAATTTAAAAAATAAAAACATTAGATAATAGATTAAGTGCAAAGACAGGCGAATAGTATGTCTACAAATATAACGGACACTCCATCATAAGCACAAAAAAAAGCTGTTATCTAAAAATAGATAAAAAAAAAAAAAACTATATGCAGTAGACAGAGTATGTATGCAGCAGTGCTAAGCTACCTAAAGTAAATCATGAGACAAACGTTGAGAGTTCATAGACACGGAAAGAGAAAAAAAAACTAATTTCAAGGGTAAATGCATGCATACACACACACGTTTGGATTTGTTGAAATTCACACAGATTGAGTTTAATGAAAAAATGCAATAATTTAATGAAAATGCTTGCAATAAAACTAAACAACTAATAAATAATTCGAAAAATTTCTCACAAACAATTTATATAAACAAATTAGAGGAATTTCTCTTTTTCTCTCAAAGTAAATTAAATGCAGAGAGGAAATAATTGCTTGGTTTCATCAAATGCAAGTTGAAACGATTCTTAGACAACTCATACCCATCTTCCTCTCCCATTCCCCATTACTTTCGTAAATCATTCACTTTATAAATATTAGATTATCCCATAAATAATAGGAGATAACAAAAAAAAAAAAAAAAAAAAATACCAAAACATTTTTTATAAAAACCGCTTATAAGTTTGTGCGGATATATGCAACATCCAAAAAGGCTTCCGAGCTACCGATCGCTTCGTAACCTTTTTCTTAATTACCTGCCCTGTTTTCTTAAGTTCAACCTACAGGTCGCAATTTTTGAGATATGTTCATGAGGCAATTTGGTGATAGGTCGCGGCTAACTATAGCTGTTTTATCTGTTTTAATATCGTTCTGACATCGTCGAGATGTACTTAAAAAAAAAAAAAAAAAAAACCACAGAAATTTTTCTTCAAATTGAAACCGATCATTCAAAAGAAAGAGACAAGTATACAAGCACGATTAATATTGAGCATGATTCAGTTTTCTGCTCAAACTCTCGTCTTAACGCGAGCTTGTAGGGTCGGTCTTGCGATGTGCATAAATTTAGGATGAAAGGTTTCCACCATCATTGCCTTCAAAATACTTGGAGTCATTCAGGGAGATATCAAATTTGCGTCCAGGTAAAGACCTCCTTTAATATACTGTGTTTTCTTTTCCCCCGTATCCATTTCTCACCTTCGCCATATTGTCTTGGCTTCTTCATATTATTGAAGAGGTCACGTCACGGTTTCTCATCATTCCTGAGAAAAGCAAATATCTTTGCATAAAAAGTGCTGATGTCTTTAAATGTCGATTCACATGATATATCTTCGTGGAAACTATTTTTTCACTTTGCCTTTAGTCTTAGGACAATTCGAAAGATTTGCAAAAGAGTCTTAAGCTACCTTCATCTTTGAAAAAGTTTTTACACGAAAAAGAAGAAAACCAATTGGTAATGTCGGCCGATGCAGGTTTTTCAAATCGATCGATTTACATTTCGATTAGTTAAATAAAATCGCATTATTTTTGGAATGATTCAATATTATTGCATGAAATAATTTGAGTCATAAAGAAAAGTTACCCATGCACAGCTTAAATGGTAAATGACAACTCATTCCCTTGTTGAGATAATGATATAAATAAATTTTGTAAATATACTATATAGGTAGTTACACCATATAACGGTTTACTCATTATTATAAGCTTAAGTGACTGTACGCACGCACATCGACTACTAATAGCACGGCGCTTAAATGCTCTAATAAAAATAGCCAAGCAGAATAATGAAAACCCCTTGATCGCTACATTTTCCAAAAAAAAAAAAATAAATAAATAAATAAATAAAAAAAAAAAAAAAAGTTTGCAAATAGAAAAGTAAACAAACGATTAATAATAATAGCAAAGAAGAAGAGAAAATAAAAATTACGTTAGATAATAATAAATGGCAGCTATTTATGCGATGCTGACAAAAGAAGCTATCAGAACTGATTCTTTTATTGATCTGTATACATTTTTGTAACGCTTACACAAACATAGGGGACAACAATGTACTACTACTACGACATAAATATTCGAATCAATTATTATCTTTACTATAATTTGTGAAGTGTTTGCGGAAATTTTGATCAGCGATTTCTACACGTAAAAATGGCAAAGAAATGGAACAAAACCAATTTACACAACGATTGAATTGATTTGGTTTTCACCTTTCTCTACATAAATTCAATTTTCCATTTAATATTATTGATTTATTCAGCGTACTCCGACGCTAATCACAGAGCGCTCCAAATTCTTCTTCTTCCAAATTCATTACTTTTACGATTTATTTGAAACAATCTGCCGCCAAAGTCCACGAAACACAATCAGAGGCATATGGTGCTCCTGCCTCATCATAGCCCAATTATCGGTTTTGAGTTCAACAGTTTACAAGTGGCGACATAACTTGACTGAAGATGCCTTTCTTTGGCCACTTGTTGCAAGAGTAGTCAAGGATGCACTGTTGCAGCTCGAATGGGAAGTTGTGCCGCACTCAGCATGCTCACCAGACATGGCGTCTTCTAATTACCACTTGCTCAGATCGGTGCAGTATGGCTTGGCTGGCATGCGGTTCCGCGAAGTTGAGTTGAAGTGCGAAAAGAGGTCGGCGGGTGAATTGCTGCGTGTCATCTTCGTTCTTGCAGTCGTTCTCATTCCAATTATAGAATACTTTCTTAAAGTATTAGTCGATTAGGGAAAGGATGTAACAACTCAATGATCGTGGATTCAAATTCCAAGTGCGATAGAGTTTATAATAAAATATATAGCCTTAGATACTAGCACTTTGGTCTTGGTATTTACTTTTCTAGCTAAATTAATTATAATAATATGATAACAATATTAATGATGGGAGCGATGTCAATGTCAAACTGCATTGCACGGTACAGTAACTAAGCATAGATACATATGGACGGTAGGTATAGATGTTAGAAGGGCTCTTTCAGCGGTAGTGAGTTTCACAACTGAACAGCGTTAACAAAAAATAATAGTCCTGAAGACGATGAGTACTTGTGATAAGAAAGGATTAGGTTCATTGCCCCTTCTCAGTCAAGTCACATACTAATACATGAGGAAACAAATGATTGAAATCTAATTCACTCTCATCTCTTAAAAGGACTCCTACCTTATTAGACAAAGAAGGCATGCATGCAAGAAGTTTTAATCTAATTATCTGTGATCTTGTATATTGTTACGAGTAAAGATGAAATCAAAAGGCTTCGCTTCACCCAGAAACGTTCCGCAAAAGTTCAGAGCAAATTTACTTAAGATTCTCTAAACATCCGTCCGCAAACCTTTTCCGATTCCCGTCAAATCAAGCGTCAAATTCGTTACGCGACTGTACTTAAGATCTTCAATTAGAGGAAAATCTTTGTTCTTGGCACTAATATTTCTCAATAAACTTTTGTTAGCATCCCAAGTGGTTCCATAGTCCTATTGTCTTGTCAGTTACTTACTTATGATCCTTCAAATCAAAATAAAAAGATATTTTAAAACAATTGAAAACACTATGGTAGGGGCACAGCTCCCCCTCCCACTTCATTTAAAATAAGATTTAAAATAAGTGGTCCGATCTGAACCATTTTCAATAACCTCCATCCTTGGTTCAAAAGACTTTGGGAAACACTAGAAAACAAAACACACGGACACACGGACAAACAATCCTGAATCGATTCAGAATATGCGATTCTGATTCGATCTTTATAGCTGCGTCTATCTCAACCCCATCACACAAATTTAGTATACTCTTGCACCAATATTGGTGTACGGTATACAAATTTACTTATAATTTATTTTTTTCAAATTGAGAAAATGCACGAACCCAAGGTAAACGACTTCTGATTTAGAACAATATACAAATGTTCTTGATTAAATTGAAATTAAAAAAAAAAAAAACAAATAAACCGCCGCAAAAATGCAGAGTACCGTATACAATAAAAATTCACGTTGCGCTATTAAACGTATAATTAATTTTGTTTTCACAACAAAGCCAGCTTTCATTGAAATTGACATAAGGGTGGTTTACAAACAACGATTTCAGATAACGATTGATAAAGGTATCAAAAAATATTGTTTTATTAAATTTTTCTAGGAAATTTGGTAAATGTAGCGCAATACAATGTGTGTTGGAAATCCACATAAATTAAGTGCTTTAAAGGCAAATCTAAATCAAGTTTGACGTTTCTGTAAAGTTATCTTGGACTCTTATTAAGATTTAAGTTTATTGATATCCTCTTGCCGTCTCGTTAAAATTAATCGATCTCAAAACCACTAATAAATACGAGATGTAAGAATAAGTAAGAAAATAGTATTCTTCGATCGTGACCGAATACTTTATATCAATCAGACTTATCGTAAAAAACATTAAAAAAAACAGGAAAAAAATATTCATGTGCTCTATAATCTTGTTTGGGAGAGGTTGATTTTTTCTATTTTCAGATTAAAAGTGGCAGATTGTAAGGTGCAAATGTTGTGCTCTATGAGCAACAAGCAGAAAATACTGAAAGCAAAAATGGTCTCAGCTTTTGTAGGGTAGGCGTGTGGGCGTTTTAGGTGTACCCTTTCTTTGGATCGTGTTCAAATTCTTTTGCAAATTTATGGAAAAGAGCTTTTTCGCGGACGTGGCAGGTAGATGGACAGACAGACAGATGGATGAGATTAGATGCTTTATGGGGTTTTTGAAGCTTGCTTCTGCACGCTATGAAAGTATTGAGAAGAGTTTTTTTTTGTTTTAATGTGATTAATCACTTAGAGGATGTCCCCTATTCGCACTAACGCGGTGACATCCAGAAAGATGTGAGGAAAAGGAAAGAAAGAAATACGGAAGTGGTCGAGATGAGAGCCCAATTGATAAGTACTATGCCTTTACCAAAGTAAACTTTACCGCACTGAGATTCTATCCAGCGAACACACACACTTTGTTATAGCGATTCTTCCTATTCGGTTACTCAGTCGGATTTAAAAGAAAATTAAATATTGATACGCTATAAAAATGGCTAGGCATGCCCAATTTTTCTCATTTTTGAATAGCTACAACAGCATCGCCCATAGAATATACTTTCAAATTTTTGTAGATCTATCTGCTGCAGTTTATGACAGTGAGCAAAACATCCATTTTTCTCTTTTGAAAGACGGAGGTATTCTCCATTTTCATGATGCGGCAGGCTTGTCATTTGACCAATTTGGCTCATTTGCAATATCAACCTACAAGTAGGAATTGTTCCTGCCAAATTCTTAGTCAATATCTTAATATTTCCCAAAGAAATTTTTATACAATAGACATTGCACAGACGGACATGCAAACGTGGTTAAATCGATACGGAAATTTATGCTTATTACAGGAAGTCTCTGAAGCTCCCTTTTGGGCGCTGTAAACTTGTCAACAAAATGATGACTAAATCCCTCATCCTTCGGTGATGGGTATAAAAACACATAGCAATAGAAGGGAAAGTGGATCGAAGTTGTTATGAGCCATTAGCATCACTGGCATATTTTTGAATGCTTTTGCAAAGTTTGGCGAGGACATCGAAACCTTTGAAAAGCTGAATAAAATGCTTAGCCCAAACAGCGTAAGGGAGAACAAAAGATCGAAACGTACACGTATTAAGAAATATTAATATTAAAAATTAATTAAATATTAATAATTAATACTGGAGCTAGGAGACGATAACGTGTGTTGATCAAAATAACATCTGCATCGAATAGGTCATAATTTCATAAAATAATTTACGCATCCAAGAACAGTGGAGAAAAATCGACTCACATGAACAGCCAAACAATTCCCGAGAGGAAAGAACAAAGCTGTCATCAGAGTATTTAGCCCTAACAAAGAAAGTACTAATCTATTATCATTACAAACTCATTTACTACGTTGGTTTATTGAAACCTATTAGCTTATTTGCCTATGACTTTCCGAGCACCAGCTTTGACATAGAAATTAGTTGTTAGTCCGGTACAATAAATTCCCCTTCCATTTTCTGTTCTTACTATCATCTAATATAGATAACCAAAGAAAAAAAAAAAAGAACAATCCTTCATTGATATGTATTTGTCTCTTTACATTGATGGTTAACCAAACCAATCAATCAAAGAAAAATGTTTCCGCGTTATTCCAAAATGTGTAACAGAAATTGTGAGAAGATTTAAATAATTTCTTTTTTGTTTAGAGTGCAAGAAAATTGCATTACTTACCTGTTTACTATCGACTTCAATATCGGCCACATAATTTTCAAAAACAGTGGGCACATAGACTTCTGGGAACTGGTCTTTACTGAAGACTATCAGTAGGCAAGTCTTACCGCACGCACCATCGCCGACAATTACCAATTTCTTGCGAATCGTCGTCATTGGTTCTGAAAAAAAAAAAAAAGAAAAAAATTACACTCTAATGGCTCAACATTGTCATAAGACATTAAAACAAATAATTGAAAAAAGCAAACACCCACTAGGACTAAAGCATGATTCAAACCAATCACACTGCATTTTTTTTTTATTTAAAGGTTTCTTCTAAAGCACGACTCGAGAAACTGCAGGAAACTTAATATTGGAATTAAGTAACAAAGCGAAATATAACGAAGACAAAATTTACTGTTTTTTCTTTAATTTCCGTCTTTGTAAATATATTACACAAACTGCCTTAAAAATTCCACGATTTTTTTTATTTCTAATTTTTCGTTTTATTCTTCAGTTTCTTTGAGCGATGACAATGACGATCGCTTTTGACTTTAGCTTTTTCGCTGCTGCTTGTTACGGCGTAGTTTGTTTTAGAGGAATGCGAAAATGTGTGAGTTTTGCGGCGAATATAATACAACCGTGCGACCGACTGACCGAGCAAACCAAGTTAGTATGCTACCGTTCGACATTTAACATATTTCGCTTGCTCAGCCTCTTTCATTAGTTAGCGGAAATTCCACTAAAAAAAAAGAATGAAAAGAAGATTGGAAAAACTCGTCCATGTTATTATTCCCTTACTATATTTCCCACGAACTTATAAATGCAAAACTATGGATTAACAGTTTAAGCAAATGAATGAATTATCAAAAGATTTACTTTAATAACCTGTAAATCGTCTGTTCTTTTTTTTCACAGTACGAATATGTACATATGACCGCAGTAAATTTTCAAATAAACACTCAATACTCATTGCTTCACACACGTACCCACATATGCATAAAACTACGTAATGTTAAAAGTATAAGACAACACCCTACCCCTTCTTCTCCGTACCCCATAAAACACTTATAAACTTCATAGCCACCATCAGTTTTCTTTTCTTTCTACTTTCATTGCAATTCACTTTTATACCAGTAAGCACTTTTTTTTTGTTAATCTTTGTTTTTATGTCCTTTCTTAAGTAAATAAATCCTTAATTGAATTCAAGTTAATTTGAGACTTAATTTTTAGAAATTTTTATATATGTATACATTTTTATCCTTTTTAAGTACAACACATACTTTAATTTAAATTAACTGGAAATCACTCCCGTTTCGTTCGTATTAAATTAAATATATTGTAAAAAATTTGTGTGAATACTTTTTTCTTATTTGTTATTATTATTATTTGAAGCAATGTTAAAAAGCCTCAATTCGGAACCTCTTTTGTAAACCTCGCAAAAAATAAAATTTTTCTTCCCATGCAAGTCTTCTTGAAAATTATGATGAACAACGCCTTGACATACGATGATTTACACGAAGATTAACGAAAATGGCGTATTCTGCTAATGGACAGGGGTGCTAAGTTCAAAAATTTTGTGTAATATTCGACGAAATTTTGCAATGCTGCCAAATTTTCAATGCACTTGACTCTTTCTATCATAATTCCAAAAGTAGTAGTAGTAGTAGTACGGTAGCAATAAAATTTGGTATAAGGAATCTAAAATTACCAAAGTTAAAATTTTTTTAAGATAGACTGGTAGTTGAGAAAAAATTGAATATCAAAAATTTAGAAAGCTCTAGTGGAATTAAGAAAAGTTTCATGTTTTTTTTTTTTTTTTTTTGGTATGTTGAACAGAGATGGACTAAGCCAATAGATTTGTGGGAAAAGTTTCATGTTAAGTGACAAAGTTAGCTTGTATATGCAAAGATCTCATTGAATTTATAGTTACGAAGACGAGAAAATTTAGTGGGGGACTTTAATATACAAAAACAAATTTGACATTTGTATATCGGTGGTTAAATATTGTTTGCCTGATCAGAACTTTTTTTTGCGAAATATTTTCTAAGCACTGTAGGTCGATATCACAGTAATTTATAAAATATAATTTTTCTCCTTCATTGTGCCAATTCTTTCCGAGTTGAACGCGTTTTTCGAATATGTTGTATGCTAAATTTTTAAAATGTCAGTTTCTGATATTTTAGCGCAGATGCAAAAACTTATGAAACTTACCAGTGCCAAGGATATCTGCGGCATCTCGTTTAACGGTAGAAGCCCAATTCACAGCTTTTCGAAACGAACTTATTCGTTGCAATTTAATCATTTGGATTTTTTCTTCCAAATATATATGTATACCTTTACAGGCTTTATTTATTTTTATCCAGATTAGTACTCGAAATTTATTGATTCCTTTAGTTTTTTCTATACTTATTTCTTCTAGTATACCATTACAATTTGATCGAAAAGTCAAAGCAAATTAATATACAATTCGCTGCAATTAATATTTAAAATTAGATTCTTACTTTTTGAAGACAATTTACTTTCAGCATTGCCAGCACTCCATTTTTTATTTTTAAATTATTGACATAGGAGAAATATCTTTAAGAAAACAATTTCCCGGCAAATATAAGCGATTTTACGACTAGAAATTCGAGCGCTTTTCAAGAAAAATCTATTTTTAATTCCATTTTGTTATCTATCGGTTGACACTTTTTTAAAACTCAGGGCACCACATTTGATATTATGTGAGTGTGTTAAGTTCTCTCTCATTGTTTAAAAAGCAATAAAGCACCAAACGCACTATTGAAAGTAAATTGGAAAATAATCGCTTCGGACAATTTACAGTTGACACTTTCAGCGACAATTTTCTAGTTCGTTTAATTTTATTAAAAGAATTGTGTTTTAATAATATAAAATACGAGGCCAAGTATTGCTAAGCGTCACTTTTCCAAAAAATCTCTTTTGCACAAGGTTATTCTTTGAAGAGAGGCTTCAGCAATATGGACGGTGAAGGCGGAGAAGCCGCAGAATTTTCTGTTGAACGCATCGAAGATAAACGCATAAGAAATGGCAAAACTGAATATTTTTTGAAATGGAAAGGTTATCCCCGAAGTGATAACACATGGGAACCTGTTGAAAATCTTGACTGCCCTGATCTAATAGCGGCTTTTGAAGACTCGTTGAAAAATAAAAAAGAGACTAAGAAGCGCCCTTCTTCCGCTCCAAGTAATGAATCGAAAGTTAAACGGAAGGCGGTAGAAGATGAAAGAAACAACCGCAAAACAACAGGATTTGATCGCGGTTTAGAACCCTTAAAGATTTTGGGTGCTACAGATTCTTCAGGAGAACTAATGTTTCTCATGAAATGGAGTGGAAGTGACGAGGCTGACTTGGTGCCCGCAAAAGAGGCGAATACCATGTGTCCTCAAATTGTTATCCAATTTTACGAAGAACGACTCACTTGGTATACACCTGGATCTGACGATGATAAAAAAGAAGGTAACTCTGAGTGAATAAAATTTGTTTTAACCTTGTAAAATGAGCTTTAATATTATACGGTTTGCGTAATTTAATTCAAACTTTACACTTCAAATACGTGTATTTTAGATTATTTCACAAATTTATTCATCGAGATGCGTATTTACTCAATAGATACTTTAAAATTAAAGAAGAAAAAAATTATTTTTTATTTAATGTAATTAAAACCACATTCCTCTTATTGCTTTGGAGTGTTTATTAAGATTTCCCAATAAAGTGATATTTTACTTCCGACTATTCACATTTGAGTAATTGGCCAAAATTGATCTTATATAAGGTCAGAAGTAAACTGGGTGGAGCGGATTGGAATGAAACAACTTTGTATGGTCAAATGTACTGAAGAGTCATATCGCCGCCTAGGAGCATTTATTGAAGTATTCAATATGCAATTCTTGAGCTGTGGACTCACAACGATTTTGTAGATTTTTTTCGAGCACCGGGATTATCAAGACTTTCTTTAGCACGTTTTTTTCGAAGCTTATGGTGAGTAGATGCCATGTCCATTCTATCATTTACTCTGTAGACGCTGATAAGCGAATACATATATATTTATACACGGCACATCAGTACACCGCGTAAAACATCAAACGTATGTAAAAAATAATAATAATCTTAATTTAAAAAATATGGCTTCGCATATAAACGCGTTTTATCGGTATTGAAAACGGTACACGTGATAGAAAACGTATTAAAAAAAATGGCAATACAGAGCAACGTAGATAGAGACAACGATCTTGGAAATGAATAAGAAAAAAATTGAAGCACTAGCATTTACAGGTTTGTCACTACATTTGCGGTCAGACAAAAAAAAAGCTAACTGAATACTGTATTACCAGCATCTGAACTTTCCTGTTTCAGGAATTAAGTTTCCGCTATCATCTTATCGATACTTTATATATTTCCAGCCCTCCAATAGTAGTGCAGCTGTACAGGTATATCACGGGCTTTTCTTTCCACTACAGCCAAATATTTTTAATAGGAGTGTTATATTGTCTTCAAGAAACCAAAAAACAAATAGTATTTAAGTACTCCTTATAACATTGGCAATACTTACTTCCCAGGCGGATTGCTTTGTGCTTTTTTTCCGCACTCTTACAACATTCCGAACATGATTAAGTTTAGTAAGTGCGTTGCAGTCTTTTTGGTATATGCAGTATTGCCAGGCCTAACTTTTGATATTGCGAAAGTGAAGCATGCTAAAAGTTAGGTCTAGTAATACTGTCGCACAAACAAAAGTGGCTTTTAATCCCTAAACTCAACTTTTTGAAGCTAAAATGGAAAAATGTCAAAATAATGCGATACAAAACTGTCTTAAAAAAATAAATGAAAAAAAATTTAAATAATTATGTTAGAATATTAATTCTTGTACTTCTTCCTCTTCTGTAAGTTAGCAAATCAACAGCGCGCGATTCACAGTGTTGAGTAAAGAATTTCAATTTATATTTTTCACGATTAGAACGAAGAATTATAATCATTTTCAAATAAATGATTTTATATATGCCTGGAAAGCAGAGACTTGGTGAACATATATTCTTGATCAGCGTAAACAATGGAACAAGTAAGCCATCTCTATCTGCATGTCAATCTGTACAATCTGTGCGTAAACCCTGTCGGCGTAGATTTTGCTCACACTAATATTCAATTATCGGTTGTTTTCAATTAATTGTTTGAACTTTAATATATCATTACTGTACGTAATCTGTATTTTTTAAAAAATGCAACTTGTACGTAAATGTATTGTGACGAGTAATCAAATTGCATTAAAATACCGGCTCCAATTATTACGGCCGCTCTTTTTTTTCTCGTTTTATATATATTTGGACCAAAATTACTACAGTTTATTATCTGGACATATAAGCTAAATCTATTGACTTAGTCCATCTTTACTCAACAAACCAAAAAAAATCAAAAACAATTAGAAGTAATATAGTTATGGGGAAAAATGCTGCGAATTTGCGAGCACCTGAGAGTAAGCGTTTATGATTCTCAAAAATTTGTATAAAAATTGCCAACATCTGAGAGTAAGCGTTTATTATTCTCAATAATTTGTATAAAAACTGCCTACATCTGAGAGTAAGCGTTTACACTTCTCAATAATTGAAAATGTATTTTTATAAAAATTGCCGACATCTGTGACAAAGTTTCCGACAATGCGGTAGCTTTAAAAATACATAAAACGTGTACCCATTTGCCGGAGGAACCGAAGATGTCCTGCGCATTGTGCAGTTGTAAATCAAGGTTATATATATATATATAGTAACGCTCTTTGGATTTATTGTATGCTTGCAATTATAGCGTTTTTAATATTTTCAAGTTAATTATATTAACGTTACACAAATTCCTTCCAAAACCTAATAATGTGCACATAAAAGTTTGCAACACTGTTTTACTTTCAACAACTCAACCAGCACAGTTACACACACGCACAAAAAATTACACAATTGAGCACATCTTTGATAACTAAAAAAATGTAAAATATGAAAATGGTTGGAGTTATTAGGGTCTTCTAATTAGGCTAATATGATGTTAATAGTGCGAAAACAACTTTTGCAAGTTATTGCAATTATCCAACACTTACTATTAGAAATACTCTAAATGTTGAAAATAACCGCCTATTTACGAGAAGTACACGATTTTTCTTAAAGCTTAAATGTAATTTGCGTGACATTCCAAGCTTCCTTGTGAAAATATGTTTAAAAGAACATTCAAATTCATTTTGCTATAGACGATATTGAGTTGAAAAATTTTCATAACAAATTTTCTTCTCAATTTCACAATTGTTAGTTCCATCTTGAGTGGATTGCACATTGCATTCTACGTTGCCGTAAAGTTAAATATCCATTTAAATATAGTTACAGCAATCAGCCTCTTTGGGTCTTGGATGTTTTATGCGTGTTTCATCGCGTATTTGTATTAAGCATAAATAAAAATTGTTACATGAAGAGTTTTATTGAGTATTATAAGTGAAGAGTTCTAGATATTGTACATATCTATAATTCAATTATTGTACTATTTTATTATTATATCCTATTATTATACTATTCAAATATCCTGTTATTTCATTCTTCTATAAATTCTGCTATTCTTCTATCACTTTCTTTTGTTGTTTCATTTTTTTTTTACCATTTTTCTGATTTATTCAAAGAAACTCTTTGCTCTCTCCTTTCTCCACACATGGTACCTTTTTTATAAATGGTGTAAAGGAAAAAACTAGTTAACGGCTTTCTGTGAAACCAAAGAAATTTTACAAGTGCACGAAGAAGTTTGGCAAAATGGATAATTGTTAAATATAAGAAAAAAAAATTGGAAGAAAATTGCGAAAAAATATTTGAAAGACGCATCCGCACAGTTTTTTAATTTTGAAAGGGAAAAAATTGTATTAAATTAATTTTCAGTTTGTGTAATGTTTAATAAATGAAGTTTTTGAAGATAGAGAAATTTTACGAAAATGAAATCAAAACTTTGTGTAGTGTTTAGTAAATTCAGTTATTGGAGAGAAAGAAGGAATTACGCGTGAGTACATTCATATGGATTATTTGGAAAGTATTTTTAAAAGGACAACCATCTGAGATTCGTACAGTTTTCCTGGAAATCTCTGGATGATGTCTCCTTAGCAATTTTTTATTTCTACTCAGCGGCATTAGCTTAGCTTTATGAGATGTGTAATATTTGATTTTAATACATTATTAATATGTTATTACTATATAATAATAATACTCTATAATAAATACACTCTATAATAAAATGCGAGAATAAATAAATAAAAGAGTTTTGAAAAAATTAAGAACTGTTAGACGTAGTTTAAGAAGGGTTGGTAGAAGCGATAGCGTTCGCACGACATTAGTAGATTATATATGGTACGCGAGGGAATTGGGATTGGCGTGAACGGTTGTAAAAATGACGGGTCAGTTGCAGGATTACACAAATAGACGGATTGTGGCCAGTGACGAGAATTTCTTAGGTTTCGTCAACACAGACAAAGTAGACGAACATTTTCTGCCAGGTTTAGAAGAATTATGTGCAGGAGCAAGAAGAGAATCAGAAGTAGATGAAGCAGAAGAAGAAATGGAAGTAGAAAATGTTGAGGAAAATAGGAGGATAATGGACACCACGGGGGAAACAGAACGGGACGATAGTACAATACACAGAAAGCCATCTAGCCTAGTATTTATGCTAGAAAATATCTTAGAAAATATGTATGATATAGGTGGACAATCGACATCAAGGAAGGCGGCGCTGATACGGCAGATAGTCCACCTATTAGACTGATTTAAAAGTAAAACAAAGGAAAATCCCCTATTAGACTTCTCCAAAGAAGCGAAACTATCGCAAAGAAACGCGCTCAGCTCTGCATTCTGGATGCGGAGGGGCCGCATACAAACAATCTGATCACCTCGGCCGAATTAGTACAGCTTTTCAACAACGTAACTCCAGCGGCGCTGCAAGCAACAATTGTCTTCGCGGGTACTTTCAACAAAGCCATGCATATCTGCAAATTCTACTCAATACTCGTGCCGTTCACAAATGTCTTTCTTCGGAGCTCCGTATCGACCACCAATTGGGAGGAGTTCAAAGGTGAACTGCAAGCTTTTAAGATGGACAGGCTAGCGGCTGACACGCGGATGGCCACCCAAAATTTCATCCCCATAACTAGGGCTTCATACAGGGTAAGCCAGGACCTCCTTGAAATTTTCTTCACTAAAATGGCGGTCTGCAGACGAAAAAGAACCAGGTCATCGGAAGAAATCTTAAAACTGTTCAACCGATTAAGGCACTCACAGATCTCCAAATATGTAAACGGTTTCACAACGAACGACGCTTATTGCTAATGGAAAAGATGAGCTACGAAATTGAACTCGAAGCCGAAGAAGACTTTACGCCATTCAGCCTCGATGGGAAGGTCTTCAAGAATCTCCACACAAGTCAGCTCAGCAACAAAGTGCGGCTGCTCACAGGATACGGAATATCGCTCTACATGAGCTGCAGCTGAGTTGCCACTCATGCTTACGTGAGCGGTCAAAAAGTAGTAAAGGACCCGAGAAATTTCTTGATCCTCACCACCAAATACCAGGAACCGGTCTTCCCGAAACCACAGGTCCACGAGGGATTCTACAATGCGTATGACATATTTTATGTTTCAATGAACTAATACATGGTAGAAGGGGATATCGGCAAGCGCGTGCAAGCAACAGTAGAGGCACGGCTTGGCTTCTTCAAAGAAAAAGGATCCTGTAGCAGCAGCAGTATCCACCGAATAAATCTACTTGGATACGTGCTATTTACGCTGCTGACAGGGGAAAATCGGAGGATAAAAGAATTCTAAGGTAATTATAATTTTATAGAAATGTATTTATAAATTATTAATTTTTTTCCTCAATTTTAGAACATAAAAGGGTCTATTACAGCAGTCCGTTCACTATGCCAAAAAGGAAGTCGGCCATAAAACAGGCAGCAAAGTAAAGGTAATTATTATTTTACATAAATAAATTTATAATTTACTAATTTTTTTCTTCAATTTTAGAAAACAAAAGGTCCGCCACTTCATTCGACTTTGACAGTGAAACAATGGATTGAAACGTTTCTTCATTCTAAAGTAAATATATTATTCTATATTTCAATATCTAACATTTATTCATTTATATTTATTCTATTTTAGTTTACAGAAGATGCAGAAGGTAAATATATCATTATATATTTATATTTATATATTATTTATTTACTTTCTCGTATTTTAATTTAGATTAAAAAAAAAGGAAACGCCGTCGCTCACCGCCTCATATACGTGAAGATTCGCTGTACGCCAAAGGTAAATGTATTTATCCTTACTTATTATTATGTATAAATTATTCATTTGCTTTTATTTCATTTTAGATTAAAAAAAAGGCATATGCCTCCACTATCGCTACAGCGAAATGCGATACTTCCATACGCCAATGGTAAGTTTGTGGTCATCTTTATATATAAAATTTAGTAATCACATTAATTTACCTTTGCATATATCAACACATCGGCACAGCAGCGATCCTTATGTATTTATATACATTTTTTTTTTGTGTTTATATATTATGTACCTATGTTATTATTATTGTAAATATTATTAGAGTTTTAAATTAAGTTAAAAAGGTGTAGGCCTACAGGGGAGCCAGCCATTCAAAACAATTGGCGACACGTCTATCACGGATGGTGTAGCAAACCGTGCAAGGCAGCCTGAGCTACTTTGTTTGTCAAGGTCTTGTTACAGAAGCACATATAATTTTCCGCTTTATTGTATTTGCGATGGCAATTTTTTCAGTTTTAACGTTTTTACGAGAGTAATTCTTCAGCTTTATCGTATTTACGAGAATTATTTTTTCAGCTTTATCAAACTAAAATAATACGTTCCCGATAAAAAAATAAAATTATTTTGTTTTTTTACACATCTATTCTTAAGAACCTTTCCAAAATATTTCATTAAACATTTCCAAAAATTTCTTCAACAAAAAACAACCAGCCCTTTAATGTCGTTTGATTCGTTAGCGTAAACAAAAATGTAAATCAGACAGTGGGTAAATGGTAGCGACAAAATTTCTAATTTATTACTTTAGTTTTGTTTATTGAAACCCCAAAAAATCATACCGAAGACCCTAGAAACCTGTATTGATTTAATAAATTTCTTACACCCGCTATCGAAGAATGAGGAGTATATTTATTTTCTCAAAACATTTACAACATCGAGGAAGGAGATTACGTGCCTCGTGTGCTCCGAGAGAAAGGCGAGTCCTGGAAATCATGTGTGCTCTAGAACAGTCAAGCACCCTCTCAAAGATAAAGAACATGCACATAAGATATGGTCGACAGAAAAATAGATTGCAAGGAACTCGTTTAGAAGTTTCAATTCGTTCATAATAACGTTTAGTATTGAATAGAACCTTATTCACTCTAATGCATGCTAAGAAAATGCATTCGTCTCGGGAAAAAGAATTTATTCTAGTCTGATCTATTAACAGAAGGACTGATTGATTATACAACCAGTTTGGATTGACTGCGGCGATTGACTTTAGTAGCGGATTTATTGGAAGTGACCGCTTAATGAACATTCTATCGTTTGCGAATAGAAGTAGACCGTTCTCTTGCCAAGGCCGTGGAATCTTCAACAATCGTCCGACAAGAAGTTAAAAGGTTGGAAAGTAGATTGGATGCTTCTTTGCACACCTTAACTGATTTGGAAGCTTTTTCGCGGGCGTGTTTTGTTAGAAATGGAGAACGGAGCAACGAGAGCAGGAAATCAATATCGTCATTTATTAATCTAAGTATGGAAGCAGTTACCTGATGTAAACCGGCGGAATCTCTTAAAAACATTGATTATAGAAAACATTTTGGATGAGAACAATTCAGATATCGAAATCGAAATCGGGTATAATGATCGAAAGAGAAATAACAGTCCTTGAAATTACAACAACAAAGTTAGAAAATCAAGTTATTATTATTAAATAAATTAATTTAAAACATTAGTTATTTAACTAATTTTGTGTAACTTGTATACAGATATAATTTTGAAGGAGTACAAGTTCTAGGCTTCGACGAACTAATGAGATTTTCTATAGACTGCTGATATGATTTTCCTTTCGTTGTCGAATTTTCCGACATACTTTCTAAAAGGTTAGAAGAATTTGACATTGATGATGTTGATGGGCTAACCTCATAGACATTTCGCTTTTTATTATCGTCTGCTGTAGTTTTGAAATGATTTTTTGTTGATTTTACACATCCGCTATTACCGTTGATGTTATCATTGTCCAAATCCCAACTGTTACTTGAAGTTGAATACGGTGATTGCCCCAAGAATAAAATACCGACGCTGTGATCTTTGGTGAAAAAATTCATTAAATTTGTCTTATTTTCCTCTTTATTATGGTATTTTGACTTAAACATCTCTTGAAGCTTTCGTTTCATACGTTCGTGAGCATTGGACTGCATTGATTTTGTATTTTTTAGATTAAAACTTTCTCTTCCAAATATGACTTTTCTGCGTATCTCGAATCCTTTGTAGGCCCAAAAATTCACATACATAAAATTTTAATTTTTAAAATTTAAAAACCGATTTTTTCAAATAACTTCCTCCTACATAAGAAATAAAAAAAAACTATGAAGGGTTTCTGACGATATAAACACAACAACAACAAATCTAAGACAAATACGAAAGGGCCTACGTTAAATTTCCAATACTTTGCTTCGGCAGGAAATGTCTTAAAACAGAAAAAAAAGGAATGTTACAGCCGAGCAAAATCGACCATTAGGTGCCGCCATCGCTTCGCTTCATTAATAAGATACCAGCAATTACAAATTTTTTCTATGTAAATAAACAATTTTCATAAAAGTCTTCATGTTGGGAGATACTCAGACGCCAAGTTTGTCCAAATCTCTCAAATTAAATTTATTTGTGAAAATTTTCATTATATTCCAGCTTGTTCCGTGATAACAAACCGCAAATTCGGCTTTATCGCCGTACAAGGATTTATTTTCTTGACACCAACTATATATGGTGCGGTCTAAAAAATAGCTTCATGCGATCCAAATTTCTTATGGTCGATACATCTTCACAATATATTAAAAATTAGTTCGTTTTGTCGTATAGAGCCTTTTTTTGCATTAGAACACTCATGTGGATTGAGATTTAAACAAGAAACCCGTTTGCCATCTCGGTATTAACATCATTTTAAAAATAACTCTGCAGTCAATATATGGTGAAGGGAAAACTGAGATAATTTAAATTAATTACAAACAAGAATAATGACAGAAAAAAGTGAAAAATGTCCAAGTAAAATAAATAAATAAATTGGTATTTGTTAGATTTTCAAATTTTTTTTTATTATGTGCGTCGGGACCTAAAAGAGCCCATGCCCCTAATCCTCCAGTTTTAGCACTCTTATAAATTCTGCCATCTTGTTTTGATCGGAGCACCATACAATAATATCTGGCGGTAAGAAGTGTTCGTCAAACACTTGACCTCTGATTCTAAAATCGATATAATGGGATATATCACTCGTTCCTTAGCCGTATCTACATGAATCATTTTCGGGATTACCCATGTTTCTTAATGATAGCTAAGGGAGTTGTTATTCATATAGAAGCCGTTCACCAACCGTACGTCGTTCGTTCTTAGTTCCAATAGCTTAGGTATCGGAAAAGTTTATTAATTTTTGGCTTGCCGCTCTTTTGCGGTTTTCTTCTCAACTCGTTTAAGACACGAGAGTAGATGTCGGAGTAACAGAAATATGCTTTATATTATTTTTGGAAAGTGCATTTTAATATTAATAAACATTAATGGAATCTTTTTATTTATTATAGAAAAGATTTTTTATAATTTAGTTTCATTTCATGACGATCCTTACTTCTTACCTAATTTCTTTAAGCAATAGCAAAACCTTAAATGAATACAACCCTGCTGAAAAAATGTGTGACCATTTAGTTTAGTTTTTTTCAAGCAATTATTTTTAAAATAACATAGTTGTAATATCAAATTTCCTTTTCCCAAATTTATGAGAATTGACTTTTTTCCACTATGCGATCATTCAACTCATCAGCAAACATAAATCATTATATTATTAATTTAAAATAAATGATTAATTCTTTCTGCGGGGCTTTGAATTTCACAGTTGCATTCGTTTCGGACAATTGTTGAATTTAATTGCAACCCTTTTAACATGTGCTTTCAATTTATTGTTGTTATTTTCATACTGTCAGATTTTATTCATAAATTTTTTCTTTTTCATGTGTGATGAGGTCTTTTTTAAATATTTTATACAAAATATAAGAAGTTAAAATTTTTTTTTTGTTCAGGTGAATTTGGGGCCCGTTATACCATTCGACAAATATCTTCAAAAGAAATTTTAGCAAAAAAAAAAAAATTAATTTAAAAAATACATGCATAAAAACAAGGAATATTCAAACCAAAATTCAATGCCGTCTAAAGCTCATGAACAATTGAAACGAAAGCTTCAACAGATATTTAAATCAAAAAATGAAGGACCAGGGGATAAAACACAAGAAAGGACAAATTTAATGAATTATAATGGTAAGAAGTACACGGCTGGTACCTTATTCTTGGATCAATCACCGTATGCTGCAAGAAAACGTAATTTCGACTTGGATAAGAATGTGAATGTGGATAGCAATAGTGCGAATGATCACGAACGGTGCGAATCAAAATCAACAAAAACTCAATCGAAATGCAGCGCAAAGAGTAATAAAAAATCAAATAATAACAAAGTTGGCTCTTCAACATCGAAGCCTACTAGTACTCTCAAAAAGGAATCAAATAATTCGACGGTAAAGGGAAAGGTACGTCAGGCAGGTCTGTCTGGCAATCGAAATCAAATTCGAACTGAAAAAGTTAAACAACAAAATTTGAAAACTCAACCAATTGTTAAAAAGGAGAAAGCGGGGAAAAACTATAAAATAGTGGAAAACGAACAAGGAATTGAAATGGATAAGACTGTTATGCAGCAAGTAAAAAAGGAAGACCACGAGCAAGAATGTAAAAAGCGACCTCTTCCTGCAAAAATGTCGAATGAACCAAATAAAAAAGTTAAAATTTTCCGAAAAAAGGTGGATAAATCTCGCAATGTTTATGAAAGTGATTCGGAAACTACAGATGGATGTACAGATCATTTCTTTTCTCATAGTTTCGAGCGTAGTCGTGGAGGTAAGTCAGAAGGCGGACGTGGTGATGGTCCTGCGGTTAGGTCTAATGTTAAAAACACTTATTACTACGACGATGACGAGAAGTATTTGTACGAAGAAAACAGTGATGAAAATGAAGATGAGTTTACTTCGGATGACGATGATGACTATTTGGAAGACGAACAATCTGATTCCGATGATGATTTCGACTATATATCGCATAGCTTTGAAAGCGATCAAAATGAAACATCATATTATTTTGATAGCGATGATGAAGGTGATGTTGACTATAAACCTCCAAAGCATTTCACAGAAGACCTGATTATACACAAGGGTAAGTATTCAATATCAGAATTATTTTATATAACACTTGCTCGCAATTTAAGGTACAGCATATAAGCGCGATTTGCGACCGGACGATAAGGTTAACTTTAAAATAGATATTTGTCGCGCTCAGATAATTGAATTGCGTGATGATGAAATGGTGACAAAAAATGTAGAGCAACCAAGGGCTTACAAGAAAGAAGAGTTGCAAAAGCTTAACTATAAACAGCGTTTAAATGCCAGTAATAAGGATAGCAACGAAGTGGTGCAAAGACAGCAACAACATCAGGAATGGCATCAGCAACAAGAACAGCAGCAAACGTATGAGCAACAACATCAAGAGCAGTATCAAGGACAACAACAATATCAGCGCAACGACATAAGAGACGAATGCCCCCAGCTAGTACCTATTGCAGAAGAGCCGGAGGACAATTTGGAAGAAACTGAGGAATCTGATTATCTCTGTTGCGAAATCCACGATAGTTCGATGAGTGATTCAAATGATTCCTGGATTTCGATCGATATAAACGATAAATATACATTGAGGGATAGGAAAAACAACAATGCTGCCAAAGAAATGGAGGAAATGTGCTCTGTGGATGTAATTGATGCTAGCGATTGCGCATGTAAACCTAAAGAAAACGTAACTACTGCAACAGAAAAGCTAAGTGGAGAAATGTGCTGTGATGACAAGAATCAATTACCAGCTGACAAACTCTCGAAATTTACGGACTACAACAAGGAGAGCACTGTTTTAATCACGGAATTTGTGGATAATGCAAGCGACACGTCTGTTACTGAGGGAGGCAGCACCCACGCGACGGTATCAGAAGATCTCAATGCACTGATTTACAATAAACTGGCCGAAAACTCCGCAGAGGAGAGAAATCAAGATTTGGATCATTTTCGTTCAATATTCTGCAATGCCGTAATGGATAATTTGGTATTAGTTTTACTTAAAGATCCATTTTATATATATGGCACGATTCGTTTAACATTGCTGACTGGCAATATTGACTTGTATGGTCACACGCCGGCTTTATATACGGAGTTGGAAGTCTTCTCCCCTCGCGGTTGCACCATAGTAGAAATTTCCCCGAAGTGTTCTGAAATGAATCCAAACCTAAGTAAGGATGCCTTAATTGAATTCCTTAAGAGCTATGATACCAAATTTACGACAAGAGATTTAAAAAGACTGGCCGATACATACAATCCCAAGCGAGATGCCGTTTTACTTTTGAAGCCGAATAAAGAAAGTAAACAAATAAAGCAGCAATTCAAAAAATTTATGGAACAAAATGTCTTTCCCAATATAAAGACACTCGGAATCGAACGTCCTTTATATGGATCTGAATACCGTTTACGATGTGTTATTAATACCTCAGCCCCTGAAGAGAAATGTTTGCGTATACCTAAGGAATGGCATGACTTTAAGTTACAATCAAATTCTAGGGTAATGATAGCCGGTGGTAAAGCTGTGGGAAAGTCAACACTATTGAGGTTCCTGATCAACAAATTTTTGCCTCACCTTCACAATATACTTCTTATCGATTTGGATATCGGACAGCCAGAGATTTTTGTACCACAAACTGTTTCGTGTACCACCATAAAGCAGCCTTTGATAGGTCCCGGGTTTTTGTTGAATTTAGAACCAGATTTTGCATTGGCTGTGGGCCATATCAATATCGTTTTGTGTCCTCATCGTTATATACACTCAGTGAACGATCTTATCAAATATTGCTTATCCAAACAAGAATATTGCCAAATTCCATGGTTAATTAACACAATGGGCTATAATAAAGGCTTCGCCTTGGAGTTAATGTCTGAAATTACCCAACAACTTATGCCAACTGATGTGATACAGCTGCAAGCACGCAAAGATATAAACAACTTTGACTTTGCTTTATTCGTCGACGTTTTAAACAATGTTCCCAAACGAATGTTCTTAGACAATTATGAAAAAAATGCGCAGGCATCGCCGATCAAACCATATGTGTTGCATTTGTGGGATTCACCGGTGGTCGAAAAGGAGAACCGTCATCAAAAGGATTGGGATATGAGCGCTAAAGACTTACGTTACGCTAATCTTTTAACGCGTCTCAGCACGACTTTAACCAATACAGCAGAATGGTTAACGGATTGTAAGCCGATGAGGTAATTTTTAACCTTTTTGATATATTTTAGCAATTATTCGCTTCGCACGACTTCTTTGTGTACTTGTAAAATGGCTTTGATTTTTCGATAAAAGCCGTTAGTTGGTTTTTCCCTTTACATGGCTTATAAAAAAGTACAATATGTTGAGAACGGAGAGAGCACAGAGTTGCTTTCAATAAATCGCAACATATCGATTCTGTTAAAGTGAGAGAAATATAGCTGGAAATTCTGTTAAAAGCAAAAATTCAACTCGAAATTCTGTTAAAAAGAAAAATTGAGCCTCACGAACCCTAAAATTAATAAAAAAGAAATATTCAGACAGTTTAAGTCCATTCAGGAGATGATTCTGAATCGCTTGGCATGATAAAAGTGATTCAATCCCAACTTCACACGGCACTTGCTTGTATCTGAAAGAAGTACAGAACATAATTAAAACAAAAAAAAATTCTGATCTTTTGTTTTGATTTTTAATATGAAATAATTAAAAAATCCATCCTATGAGGTAGTTGTTATATTTAATGCTACGTATATTTTAATGGTTGTCCGTATTCTTTTCAGTGCTCCTCTGCACAGATTAAAACTCGTCAATCTATTGGAGAACGTTTCTTATACTCGAGAAGAGTTAATCAAAGCCATTGAAGCTAGTTTGGTTTATTTATGCCACTATAGAGAAGACGATGCCTCATTGGAATGTTGTGGAGTTGGTAAGTATAAGTTTTGTAGTGTCTTTATAATTCTTCTTATCCACTCTGCATTTCATAGGTGTTGTCCGTGGAATTGATCACCAAATCGACCAAATTTATTTGGTACCAGCTACATCTATAACCTGCCTAAGACGTGTCAACTGCTTAGCTATCGGTGAGATGCCTTTACCTTCCACTATGTTCACATACCAAGGCCCTCGCGTTAAGGACACTGCACCCTATGTTTATAATACTGTAGATGCTAACTCTTCTAAATCCATTAAACATTTCCCTCGGCGGCTAAATGAAACATGTTTCAAAAAAAATTAGTGTACATATTTTTCTAAAAAAAAAAAAACATAATTTTGAAAAAACAATTTTTTAATTTATTTAATGCGATATATTATGGCGGCCTTTCAAAATCCTTCTCATCAATACTCTCCTGCCTTCTGGAGTAGACATACGTTTATCCCAACCATGGACATTAATACGCTTCACTTCACGTGGTTTGGGAAAATGGCATCTAACTTTTGGCTTTAGTATAGCTCGATTGAAAACATGGGCTTCACGAAATGCCAAAGTGGAAACAACAGTGAACGTTCTAGGAAATTAAAAGCCTTAATTAATAGCTGTCACATTACAATCGTTTCACTTACTTTTGTAAAATACCTGTAAACATTTTCTCATTCAAATTTATTAAACTTATCAGAAGTTGAAAGTAGAACTTTGCAAAAGTCAGAAATACCGGTCAGCTGTTTTAATGAGTTACTTAACATTGTCATTTTGCAATAGTATTGGTATTAGGGAAAACAGTTCCGGTAGTAAAAGCAACTGGCAATATTGACACGATTAAAAGCATTAACGTTAAAATTTATTTAGGTAAGGCAACGCTGATATGCTTCTCTCCTTCCATTAGATTAAATGCTATGATTGATTGATTGCACACAGAGTAGCTACTGGAGCTTGTAAGTATATAGTATAAGTGTTAGGTGGTATTTATACGAGTTAACTGAAACTTTAATTGCGAATTGTTTGCTGGTTGTATTAAATTATTTGCACTAAAGTCTCATTAAATAGAACAGAAGAGGAATATCTTAACATTTAAATACTTGGCGCCGTCAGGGGTTTTCTAGCATTGTTATTGTAAAATTTTGTTTGCTCTGAGAGGAGATTAGTGTAAAATTTTCTTTTGCTCGTATCTGAAAAAGAGAGAAAATCACCACTTTTTAACAATTTGCTTACATGAATATAATATAAACCTAAACATTTTTAAGATTTTTTTCAGTTGCCTTTTTCCTCTTCAAAAGAAAAGTCATTGAGATTTGCAGTAAAAGTATTTTATTGCAAAGTAATTAAGAATGATATTAAAAATAAACAAAAAAAAAGTGTCTGCTCCAAACAACTACGTAAATGTATAGTTAATTAAAACGGATTTGATTTTAGATATATGGAGATTTTATAAAAAGAAAGAAAAAATTAAAACATTGCATTCACTCTTACAGATAGAATGAAAAGAAAATTAAACAAGAATTGCGAAAGAAAACAAAAGCAATCGTAATTTACTTAAGAGAACGAAAAGAGGAGAAAACATAAACTAAAAGGTGTTATTTTTTTTTATTTATTTATTTTTTTTAAAAGGAAGGAAACAAAAGTTATGGAAGGTTAACCTTTAAAGTATGTTTAAAAAAGAAAAATATTTTCTTATTGAATAATAAATAATGAACTTTTAAAAAAGTGCTATGAAAATTTTCATTTTCATAATTGTAAAGTGCGAGTTTGCGGCGTCAGTGGCTAAAAATACATAAGCAACACAACTAACGGCAACAACAGCAACAACAGCAATAAATAGCCGTTAAGACGTACACGTTACAGTGACAGTGTAAGTGAAGAAGAGAAATTTGCAATTTTCATAAAGTTTCTTTATCTATGTGTTTAAAAATAAAACATTATAATAAAAAAAGAAAATCGTAAATCGAACACTTTTTAAATTATGCTCAAAGTATCCAAAAATATATTGAAATTATTATTATTTTTTTTTAAAGAAGTTTTTCCGCTGGATACTCTAAATGTGTTTTAGTCACATTTTTCTGATTGCTTTTCTCTACATTTTACGCGATTACATAGTAATTTATTTTGCCATCTCTTTTTCTTTCTTTCTCTCATTTCTTGGCCTTTATAGCAAACAACAACGCTCTTCATTCATTTAAAAAGCGAAAAAAAAAGGTAAGAACATAAAATAATCGTGTGTTGGTGGATAAAAGAGAGTGTTCAGCAAAAATATACCCAGTAAAATGTGCTTATTTATATGTGTATATGTGTTGTGCGAGTACGTGTTGAAGTGCACTCTGCAATGCACTGTTATGTTAGTATGCTCCGCTTGTGTAAACTTTGTCTGTTTATCTGTCTGCTTTTGCATATTTCAGCATTTTTGTTTGCCAAAAATTTTTTTTTTTATGGCAGTGGTTAACAGTGTTGTTGTTATTTTTATTGTTTACTTTTTTTTTTTTTTTGTTTACTGTCATTGTTGCTTATGTCGGCTCAAATAATTTGCGTACGGCACAGATGACGGCGATGAGTTGTTACAGCCTGAACAGTCTGAGAATATTTGTTGTTTCCTCTTTGTGGATCATGAATGCTGTTATAAGTTGTATTTTATGTGTAAATGGCTTCCTGAGTATGTTAAGTATATTCACACATACACATAGACGCACGGAGTCATATATTTAATGACACATGTAATGCAAATATATTTAACTTTCAGTTTTAGTAGCATTTACTCTTTTCGACAACTTTCAATGGTTTGGCGTAAAGAAAATGAAAGAAGGTGATAAAAAAATATCGATTTTTTTTTTTTCTGCGTGCACGCATATATTGCATGTTTTTATTTTCTCTTGCTTTTACTGTTGTTGTTGTTGTTGTTGCTGTTCTTCTTCCCCTATCCATTTTCATCATTTTTCTATTCATAAATATAGCCATACACTTTAGTGCATATGCCTGTTTTTCATTTCTATTCCACCCAAGAGAAATGGTTTACTCACTCTTACCATTTAAATTTCGTTCTGTCAGCCAGTGTGAATGCTTTGATGTCTTTCCTTTCGATGTATGAGCGATTGTGTGCAAATTCAATTTTGAAAACACGGAAACACAGAATCGTTCTTTATGCATTTACAAAACGTGTACAACTACAACAACAATAATAATAATAATAGCATAAACATATCTATCTACATATATATTTATGTACGTGCACATGTTTATGTATAAAATACGTATTGTATTTGCATAAACGGTGTACACATTTGTCGTATGTTGTTTTTCGGTACAAGCAATGCGTGTGCATAGATGTTTGCAAAACCAAGAACTCCCGCCAGTATGTATGTATGTATGTATGTTTTGTGTGCGCCTATCTGTTATTATTAAATCTTTATTAGAGTGTTTCGCCGTTAGGCTATAAAAGCATTACCAAATCTGATTTGTGGGCAAATAGATGCATGCGAGGAGAAAGAGCTGTAGTTTAGTAGCACTGGTAGTACTGGTAGTGGTAGTGTAGTACAATACGCCAAAAGCTCGTTTGCTCTCTGTGATGCTTAATATTTGTTTGGATGAAAAGGAATTTTAATATGATTTGATTTCGAAATGTTTTTGAAGTTTAGTAAGCATTCGCGTACGCCTGGTAAGTTACTGAGTGAAATCAGGCATACTTATGTAATGTGGTTATAAATCCGAATTTTAACATACAAACATACGTATTTTGTAATTTTTGAAAGGATGCACTCGCGAGTAGTCTTTTGACCATATTTCCATATTACATAAAGTGATTGATGATGATTAATTGATTCATCCCGGAAAGATATCTTTATAATTGTTATTTTCATCTTTATGATCGCAGGTAAGACTTCAAATATTAATTATGATATATTAAGGCTTGCAAGAGACAAATATGAAATTTACTAATAATCGTTTGTCCTTGTTCTTGAACAATCGAAGATATCAAAAGCTACATTGAATTTGGACTCACAGTAAGGTGCAATGCAAAAGGCATCCTTTCAAATCGAGAAAATATTTCGAGCAGGTAGATGTTATTTTTATACTCCACATCGTTTGTGGCACAGAAGGGCTTCTTGATATAGATCCATCTTTTATTATATCGCTACATTTTTTAAGCCGATTTAAGCTTGCCTGTCCGTCTTATGTTCTTGTGTGTGAGGACGAATGCCATTGAATATTGTTGCGATCGGGCCACGTTTTCGACCACTTTCCACATAACGGTCCTTATATGAATAACTATTAAATATTTAACGGTGTTTCTCTTGTTTAACTTTGCAAATTATTATATTAAAGCCCGGAGTAGTTTCTAATTAGAAGTTTAGTCCTTATATTTTTGAATCGCTTGCATAATTTCGTTTCAAAATACCATTATACTCACGACGAGGATAAAGGATATCTATATAAATGGAATTTACGCTTCAGCGGATGAGTTCTCAAAATTTTGGAATGAAAGTTTTATAGGATAATGTTAAACGTTAAAGTTCTTCGGTATGTTTGGAAGTTTGAGGAAAATAATTTTTTTGTATTTTAAATATAAGGGTATGTATTGAGTGTTTGCCGATTTATGTAAAACTAAGAAAAAGTTGAAATTGTTCCGGCTTTCATTACACCGATCAATTTAGTATCATTTTCTGAATCTACCTAAGTTTGTCTGCCCACCTGCCTGTTTCGCTATCAAGCTACTATTTGCAATTTGTGAGATATTTTGACGACGATCGCTATCGAAAATGGTGCCAAAATAGGAAGCAAAAGCGTGGATTAGAATAACTCAAGTGAATGACTAACAATTAATAATTAGACAATAATTATTATTATTATTGTTATTATTAATTCAGTCAGAGAAAATATTCTAAGATTAAATAAAGTCTTAAAGCTCTGGCATCTAAAAGCTAACGGCTATTGAAAATTCTATCGCGCTTGAGATTTGAACCCAAGAACTATTGGGTTCTTAGTCGAGCTATTGCCTACTCGATCACTCCATGCGAATCAGGCATAATTTTGTATTTACTAATCATATTCAGAATTATCGAAAACTCTTCCAAATCTATTCACGTCAACAGGACGAGGAGCTCTGAAACCGTGTCTGAGGAAATAAATTCGTTGTACGCCTGGATCTGATGAAATTGATTTTCTTATATAGATATCGCATACACATCGACATGACATCGACAGTTGTGACATATCTAAATATTTCCCAAGTCGCTCGTTTTCATTTGTCACATATGGCATGACATAGCCGTTTCTTACTAGAGAACGAACGTTTCTGGAAAACATGCTAAGGCATGTTAAACGTGTTGTGTACAGAATGCAATTGTAAAATATTAAAACGGTAAAATATATAGATGTCGAGTGGATGTGTCGAGTGGCGAATTGGAGACGTCTACAGACTAAAATGTCTAGTTTTTATTTGTAGCCCAGTATCACATATATGTGACAGTTGACAAGAACCCGTATTTCACTCTTCTTGTAATCTCTATACACTCATACGTAAAGTCTACTCAAGTTCATGTCGCACAAAAACGACAAATATTCTGGATCTACGATAGACATTCTGCTTAGAAGACTCCGGTAGCGAATGGGTTAATTTCGCATTACTAGAGTGATTGCAATAAGAAAATATCTATTATTCGAAAGATCTTGGGAAAGTTCCAAAGATCCTATTCACTTCCATCGTTACATTCGCAATAATATACTTTGGTATTTATGGGGGAATAAAATCTATATTCATTGTTAAGCTCAATATTTTTTAAATAGCCCAACTTCTCGTTCAAGTAGAAAAAATCACTACAATTAGGAAAATTATGATCCTCACTAGCACTGTGAACCTTTTGTACTCTTGGTTTTTATTTTAAGAAAAAAAGAAAAAAAAAAAAAAAAAAAAAAAAAAAAAAAAAAAAAAAAAAAAATAAAAAAAAAAAAAAAAAAAAAAAAAAAAAAAAAAAAAAAAAAAAAAAACTTAAAAAAAAAAAACAAACGAAAGAGATTGACACTATAATATTAGGTTGGCAGAGCCACTTTTTTCGTTTTTTCACAGTCGTTGCGGAATCAGCCA